GGCCCAGGCTTGGCTGTTGCAGCCTTTTAGGAGTAAACCAGCAGATGGAAGATCTGTCTTTCCCTCTCTCTATGTAAGTCTACCTTTCAAATAATAATAAAGATTTATTTATTTATTTGAAGGCAGAGTTACAGAGACGAAGCGGGGGGAAGGGAGAGATATGGAGGTCGAGATCTTTCATCTACCAGTGCATGCCCCAAATGGGCACAATGGCCAGAGCTGAGCCAGGCTGAAGCAGGAGCTTCTTCTAGTATCCTAAGTGGGTGCAGAGGCCCAAAGCCTTGGGCCTTCTTGCACTGCTTTTCCAGGCACATTAATAGGGAGCTGAATCAGAAGTGGAGCAGCCAGGAATCAAATTGATGTCCATGTGGGATGCTGGCATTGCAGACAGCAGCAGCCTAACCCACTGCACCCAACTCTGGCCTGAAAATGCTACATTTTGAACAGGTAAACCACGAACTGAACATAGGTTTGGACTTTAAGTTAAACTGTTGACATCACAGAAACAATGGGGGAAATGAATATATAAGTCATTGATCCCAAAAGTGAAAAAAATTCCAAACTTCTGGGAAATAATAATAATAATAAAAAGTCCAGAGAAAAGACATTTAGGAAACACAAGTCCACTCTGTAGAGCACCAGAATCTCAAGTTCATTTGTTACCGCACTTTGTTTTATTCTTTTTTAAACTGATGACCTTTATCAAAATTGCCATGCTGATAACTTGATTGTGGTCAAAGCATTTTCTTCCAGCATCACTGGGAACTCTTCCTGTAGCACTTGAAACAGGTGTCAGGCTGGCAGGACAGAGTTTTTCAGTTCTCAGACATGTACAAGCCTGGTGGGAGCTCACAGTTGGCCAGTGGTGATTCTCCAAGGCCAAGCTGAACGGGAGTGGGAGCCAGGTCATAGAGCTGCCAGGAGTTCCCCCAAGTTCTGGCTTTTCCTTGTAGGTGATAATTGGGAGGCATGTGTTTCTAAAGTTCACCTGAATACTGATTTCAAGGACTATATTTGTGCTGGTCATACCTACACTGCAGGGCTCAATACACAGGATTGGGTGTGTGTTGGTGTCCTAGGCAGGCATATAGGATAAGCTGTGGCTTAGCAGGTTATCGCCCTAGCCTGAATCACTGGCAACCCATATGGGTGCCAGTTTGAGAACTGGCTGCTCCACTTCTGATCCAGCTCTCTGCTGTGGGCTGGGAAAGCAGTGGAGGATGGCCCATGTCCTTGGGCCCTGCATACATGTGGGAGACCTGTAGGAAGCTCCTGGCTCCTGGCTTTGGATCTGCGCAGTTCCGGCCATTGCAGCCATCTGAGGAGTGAACCAACAGAGGCAAGATCTCTTTCTCTCTCTCTCTCTGGCTTTCAAATAAATAAATCACATTTTAAAGGTTTTATTTATTTATTTGAGAGATAGAGTTACAGAGAGAGAGAGGGAGAGACAGAGAGAAAAGTCTTCCATCTGCTGGTTTCCTCCCCAAATGGCTGAAACAGTAAGAGCTGGGCCAATCCAAAGCCAAGAGCCTGGAGCTTCTTCCTGGTCTCCCATGCGGGTGCTGGGGCCCCAGCACTTGGGTCATCTTCCACTGCTTTCCCAGGCCACAGCACAGAGCCAGATCTGAAGAGAAGCAGCTGGGACTGGAACTGGGATGCTGGTGATGCAGGTAGAGGCTCAGCCTACTATGCCCCAGCAACGCCTGTAAATCTTAACAAAGCAAGGTCAATGCACTACTCCGTGAACATCCCCCGAAGTCAAGGTCCACAGGAAAAATATGTAAACTCTCCTGAGTTGTTCAGGTAGAAAAAGAGAGATTGTGCAATAGAGGTTGATGATTTAGAAGGTGAACCCTAAGATTGGGCAGTGTGGGAGCTGGTATGTTGACCTTTGCCAGTGATGTCTAAATAATGGCATGAGAATAGAAGTGACTGCCTGGAGTTGGGGAGAGCATAAAAGCAAGTGAATTCACCTGGTCAAAATATTCTTTGAAACAAGTTTGATGGAAGAGGGAAAGGCACCATCTAGTGGAAATTCACGGTGCTGAGGTAATGAACTTTGAATTACAGGAAAAAAAAAAAAAAAAAGCCAGGGAAACCGGGCTAGGTCCAACTTAATTTTTTAAAGATTGATTTATTTATTTGAAAGTCAGAGCTACACGGAGAGAGAAGAAGGGGGGAAGAGAGAGAGATCTTCCATCCTCTGGTTCACTCCCCAACTGGCCGCAATGGCTGGAGCTGCACTGATCTGAAGCCAGGAGCCAGGAGCTTCTTCCAGGCCTCCCATGCGGTGCAGGGACCCAAGCACTTGGGCCATCCTCTACTGCTTTCCCAGGCTGTAGCAGAGAGCTGGGTCAGAAGTGGAGCAGCCTGGACATGAACCAGTGTCCATATGGGATGCCGGCACGGCAGGCGGCAGCTCTCCCCACTATGCCACAGCATCGGCTCCCCAACTTAATTTTAGTTTGTTTTCTCTAAGCCCTAGTCTCCTTTCAGATGTCCAGTTCTCAAACTATTCTATGGAGGTTTTGGCTGTTTTGAATAAATTATTTCAATGATTTAATTACTGTATGATGTTAGACTTATATTGACTTTTTTTTTAAGATTTGTTTTTATTTGAAAGAGTTACAGAGAGAGAGAGAGAGAGAAGAATCTTCTTCCCAGATGGCTGCAACAGGCAAGGCTGGGCCAGGCCAAAGCCAGGAGCCTGGAGCTTCTTCTGAGTCTCCCATGTGGGTGGCAGGGTCCCAAGCCCTTGGGCCATCTTCCACTGCTTTCCCAAGCCATTAGCAGGGAGCTGCATGGGAAGTGCAGCAGCCAGGACATGAGCCAGCACCCATGTGGGATGCTGCCATACCCGCTATACCTTAATGCTGGGCCCTTATGCTGACTTCTGAAAACCATTTATTTTTGTGTACCTGAGAGGCTGAGTGAGAGAGAGCAAGAGAGAGAGAAACCTTCTGTTTGCTGGTTCACTCCCCAAATGTCTACAACAGCCAAAGCTGGGTCAGGCTGAAGCCAGGAACCTAGAAATGCATCCAGGTCTCCCAGTGTAGGCTATAGGGCCCATGCACCTGAGCCATCACCTGCTGGTTCCCTGGCTACTTTGGTGTGAAGCCGGATTGGGAGCAGAGTAACTGGGACTGGAACCCACACTCTGCTATGGGCTGGGGGCATCCTACGTGGCAGCTTAACAAGCTTTGCCACAATGCCTGCAGTCTTATATTCTTTAACGTCCTCATTCGCTGTGAGTCTCTGGCCTCACCAGCCTCCAAACTCTCAGTTATCAGTGCTGTCAGTGATGCAGATCACCTGGGGCCTGGCCAGGGCTAAATGAGAAAATTAGTTCCCATGGGTGTTCAGTGAATGGAAGCTAGGATTTAAAAATGGAGATTCTGGAAAGCCAGTTGTGCCTAAGGGGAGCTGTGTGTAGGGTGTGGCAAGGGCTGGAGAAGGGCTGGGTCTAAGGCGTGCCTAGGGTGGCCATCTCAGGTTTATATTAAATGAATGCTGTGCCAGCAGCCCTCACTTCACTAACCAGGAAGACTGTCTCAGGAGGGCTCCCAGACATGGCTTCCAATGGTGAGTTTCTGTGCGCAGCTTTGTCGGCAAGGCTGGGTTCTCTCTGTCCTGGTGTTCTGTGGGGGTTTGAGCTTTCATCTTTCAGAAGTGCAGGCTCGTGGACAAGGGGCCACTAGTGTCACAGGTGTCACTGTCTCTGGCAACCGAATGGCTGAATGCAGGGGGTAGGATTTCCCAAAGGCTCAGGTGTTTAAAAATTAACCCAACTTGGGGTTGCCTTAAAAAGTTTTCTGCATTTTAAAGATGTACCTGGAAGTAGTTTAGGTAGAACAGTGTCTTGGGTTCCCTTCAGAATGAAGGGGTGGGAGGTGTGGGGAAAGATGGGAAGGGTAGGGGGAGGAAACAGCACTGGTCATGTAATGCTGGAGCAGGGAACTTCACAGTGTCGGTGGAATAGTGAAATTCAGAAATGTTTTGGGGCAAAAAAACCTTTGAAACCAAGAATAGGTGTTTCATGATATTCGTTTCTCTGAGGACTTCTTCTGTTGGAGCCGAGTTAGATTCTCAGGCAGCGCTGGCCGTTTTGGCCATTTGGGGAATGAACCAATGGACGGAAGACCTTTCTCTCTGTCTCTCTCTCACTGAGTAACTCTGCTTGTCTGCTTGTCAAAAAATAAAATAAAATAATATAAATGCTGGAGTTCTGAAGTCTTGGGTTCTGGCCCTGACTTCTTTCTCTAAACAAGCACTGGGTGAGAGAAGTCCTGGGTCAGCGCCAGTCTGTCTGGCAGCTTGTGAGTGTGACATCTCAGTCAACTCGCAGAGGCCTCCCAGCTCTAGGAGGTCTTCAGAAAATCCTTGGAAAGTGCCCATGGTGGAGGGGGAGCCCTCTCAGCTCCTCACTCTGTCCCAGAGGCAAAATCCAAGGCCCCAGAACAATGGTGCCCTTAGGGTGTGAAGCCCTTCCAGAAGCTGCTCTGGACCACAGGGGAGGGAGGGGCCTCCCAGGTGAAGATTGTGGGCTCAGCTGCCAGTTTTACTGCTGAGATTTTATTTAAATAAACAAATTTGATTTAAAACAAAACAACAACCAGTGTGTTTTTAAAATGTGTGTTAAAGGTATACAAATTGCTGGTCAGAAATACTGGGAACTTTTCCTGTGGCGTTCTAGTGAGTGGCCGGGCTGGGGGTAGGGACCAGATACCCTGGAGCACCTCAGCGATAGATGCTCCCCAGGGAAGTTTTGCTGGGAGCAGAAAGCGCTCTTATCCCCTCTTTGCCTGTTCTGAAGGAAAGAGTGCCAACCAACAGTGTGTTCTCTGTTTGAATTTGGGTTTATACAAAATGCTTTACACCAATTATTCATATAATTAATATGTTTAAAAACATTTATTTATATTTATTTGGAAGGCATAGTTACAGAGAGATAGAGAGAGGGATCTTCCATCTACTGGTTCACTCCCCAAATGGCAGCAAATGGCCAGGGCTGGGCCAGGCCAAAGCCAGGAGCTTCTTCCCAGCCTCCCACATGGTGCAGGGGCCCAAGCACCCGGGCCACCCTCTGCTGCTTTCCCAGGGCTTTAGCAGGGAGGTGGATGGGAAGTGGAGCAACTGGGACTTCAGCTGACACCATATGTGATGCTGGACTGGAGGCAGAGGCTTAACTTGCCATGAAACAACACCAGCCCTGAATGTATAAGTTTTTTTTTTTCTGGACAGGCACAGTTAGACAGTGAGAGAGAAACAGAAAGAATGGTCTTCCTTTTCCGTTGGTTCACCCCCAAAATGGGCTCTGTGGCCGGCGCGCTGTTGCAATCCGAAGCCAGGTGCTTCCTCCTGGTTTCCTATGTGGGTGCAGGGCCGAAGCACTTGGCCCATCCTTCACTGCCTTACCGAGCCACAGCAGAGAGCTGGACTGGAAGAGGGGCAATGGGGACAGAATCCGGTGCCCCAACCGGGACTAGAACCTGGGGTGCCGGCGCTGCAGGTGGAGGATTAGTCAAGTGAGCCTCAGGCCCCGGCACTATAACACTTTTTGAAAATTTTGGGGGGCTGGCGCTGTGGCACAGTGGGTTAATGCCCTATCCTGAAGCATCGGTATCCCATATGGGTGCCATTTTGAGAACCGGCTGCTCCACGTCCAATCCAGCTCTCTGCTATGGACTGGGAAAGCAGTGGAAGATGGCCCAAGTCCTTGGGCCCCTGCACCCACGTGGGAGACCTGGAAGAAGCTCCAGGCTCCTGGCTTCGGATCAGCACAGCTCAGGCATTGCAGCCAATTGGGGAGTGACCATCAGATGGAAGACCTCTCTCTCTCTCTGCCTCTCCTCTCTCTGTGTAACTCTGACTTTCAAATAAATAAATAAATATTTTTTAAAAATACACATAGCTCCATTTCACTGCCAAATGCTTAAGATACTTCTTAAAATTTTATTTGAAGGTTTATTTTATTTATTTAAAAGGCAGAATTACAGAGAGGCAGACAGAGAGAGAGGGAGAGAAAGAAAATAGGGTGAAGGTCCTTCCATCTGCTGGTTCACTCCCCAGATGGCTGCAATGACCAGAGCTGTGCCAACCTGAAACCAGGAGCTCCTTCCAGATCTCCCATGTGGGTGCAGCGGCCCAAGGACTTGGGCCTTCATCTGCTTTCACAGGCTGTGGCAGAGAGCTGGATCAGAAGTGGAGCAGCTGGGACTTGAACCGGTGTCCATATGGGATGCCAGCAATGCAGGCAGCAGCTTTACCTGCTACTCCACAGTGCCAGCCCAATCCAGCACTTCCTACTGGCATTTCTCTGTCATGCTGTCCCCCACAGTCCTGCTCTGGTAGCTACTTGGTGTGCAGGTGTGCAGGTGTGCTCTGGGAGCAGAGGCTAGAGAAAGCTGAAGGAAGGGGAGTCGAGGAGAACAGCGACGGGCTTTCGGGGTTTGTGTATTTGGAGGTTTGGTGGCTGACTTCCTGACCCTTTCCTCAGCTCTGCTCTCGCTCTCCCCCCTTCTCTCTCCCTCTCTCCCTCTCCCTCCTCTCCCTCTTTCTCTCTCCCTCTCTCCCCATCTCCTTATCTCTCCCTCTTCTCTCCCCTCCCCCTCTCCCTCTCCCCCTCTCTCCCTCTCTCCCTCTCTGTCTCTCTCCACACCTGCTCATCAGCGATGTCCACACTATATTTTGAATGTCACAGTTTCTGTGATGAAGTGTCTCTGGTTTTGCCTTAGGTAGTCTATAGTATGTTCAGATTGACCTTTTTAAAAGACAGAGTGACAGAGAGAGACACACACAGAGGACTACCATCGCTGGTTCACTCCCCAAATGACTGCAATGGCCAGGGCTGGGCCAGGCAGAAGCCAGGAGCATGGAACTCCATCTGGGTCTTCCACATGGGTGGTGGGGGCACAAGCACTTGGCCAGTTTTCCACTGCTTTCCCAGGGGATTCAGCGGGGGCTGGACTGGTAGAGCAGATGGACTCAAATCATTGCTCATGTGGGATGCTGATGTCCTCAGGGGTAACTTAACATACTGCACCCCAACCCCCGGCAGGTAGGTTATACCCTCTGAAGCAGGCATATTAGGTTGTGAATTTGGTTTGCAGTCCTTTTAAGTTTTTTCACTTAAATTCTGATTTAAGAAAAACAGGATTGCCTCATGTCAGTTCTTCTAGTGGCCTCTGCAGCAGAGAACTGTGCACACATTGGTTTGTCCGTAAAGTCTACTCCCCTTCCAGCATCCAACAGATGAGCACATACCGGAGGACAGGTTTAGACCCTCGGTGCTTTCCTCCCGCTGGCATGTCTGACATGGGTGAAGGATATGACCTGTGGACTTGGTGTTAAATCTTCAAGTGCCATTTAGTGACACATTTGAGGGTATGCCCACTTTCAACTTCATTGCATTGAGCAAAAAAGCCCACGCGGTGATAACAAGCAATAGGGGTACCAGACCTATCCTTGTCAATCCGTGTTAGTCCTTTGACACTTTGCCCCCATATATTTAAATTATTGTTTACCAGATTGTTGTCAGCTGGTTTATTTGCATTACCTCAATTACTAGTGTGGCTGGGTGTTTTCTAACCATCTCTGTCTTTGTAGTATATCAATTTTTGCTACAGAAAACCTTCTTCACTCCTGTTACCTTTATGACCTAAATACTATCATCTTCTCACCATAAGTTTCAAAAGATATGCCCACAGTCCATTATTCATTTTATTATGACTAGGTAAGGGGGAAGGTATCACCTTTCTGAAATTTTATTCTATCACAGAGGTCTTTTGTTTTTCTGGATCTTGCTAATATTCTCATGTTTTCTCTCTCTGTAATTTTCAGGAGACAGTCATGACAACATAGAAACACAACATGGAAGAAGAAAAGGAAAAGCACGCCATCAATTTACACCTGAGGAACTGCACATACTGAATCAATCATTTGCAGAGAGTCCTTATCCTGACTTTACGACCAAGGAGGAACTGGCCAAAAAACTCCATTGCTCGTTTTACACAATTGAGGTACATAAACTATGTAGGTATTTACATGAATATGTCTTTGTGGACAATAATAAAAAAAGCAACCAATTATGAAAAAGTATAACAGCATTTCATCACATAAGACAGCGTTGACATTTGGTCCCATTTCTTCTTCATGTCATTGTTGGTGTGACTATATTAAAGCATGTTATGTGTTATTTTTGAAACAGATTTATTTATTTGAAAATCAGAGTTACACAGAGAGAGGGAAGGAGCGGCAGAGAGAGAGAGAGCAAGGTCTCCCATCTGCTGGTTCACTCCCCCCCCGCCTCAATGGCCGGAGCTATGTTGATTCGAAGTCAGCAGCCAGGAGCTTCTTCTGGGTCTCTCATGTGGGTACAGGGGCCCAAGCACTTGGGCCATCTTCCACTGCTTTCCCAGGCCATAGTTGAGAGGTGGATCAGAAGTGGAGCAGCCAGGACTTGAACTGGTGTCCATATGGAATGCCGGCTCTGCAGGTGGCGGTTTTACCTCCTATGCCACAGCACTGGCCCCAATTACTCTCATTTTACAAAGGAGAAAAGAGGAGTAGAGGTTCCACGAAACACTTAGGGTAAGGTATAAAGTAATACTGCTAAGTTATGGCAGACGCTTGTTTGTTTTGGGTATGGCCTTTGAAGAAAATGACATTTAGAATATGATTTAGAATACATTGAATTAGGAATTCATTCTGGAAAAGCAGTTGGAGTAAAATAAGCAAGCTAATAGAATGTATTTTGAGAACAGCTGCTTCATGTCTAAATGCAGAGGGTGCAAATAGGTTGGTAGAAGATTTGGAAAAGTAGGGATTTGCTCATACATAAAGGTCCGTGCCTCCTTTCAAGTCAGATGGGAATGCAGAATTGTGCACAATTACATGATTTTAATTATTATAAATGTATATTTATATATACATTTACATATCATATTTACTATAAATGCATTCTCGTATTATAAATATAATAACACAGGAAGCCCCTGGAAAGCGTGCTTGCATTTTTCATGTCTTACTCAAGTTCACGAAGGAAATCAGTGATGACGCTGATCCTAAGATGAACTACAAAATTCTCCTACATTGGCGAATATATAGACTCGAAAGTAATTTTTGTTTCTTTTTTAGAACTGGTTCCAAAATAAAAGAGCCAGGCTACCAGCCAGGAAGAGACGCAGAGTGCTTGAAGTCAGGATGCCATATGCACTCCCTGTCCAAGGTCCACCAGGTGTAAGCCTGCAGAATTCCCAGGAGTGGTTTCCCAACACTACCCAGGCGGCTGTGCTGGGCGGAGCTGTCTACGCCATTCCACGTGCCCAGGTGTGGTCTCCCAACTTTGCCCAGGCAGCTGTGCTGGGTGGAGCTGTCTACACCGCTCCATGTGCCCAGGTGTGGTCTCCCAACACTGCCCAGGTGGCTGTGCTGGGCGGAGCTGTCTACACCACTCCACGAGCCCAGGAGTGGTCTCCCAACGCTGGCCAGGTGGCTGTGCTGGACGGAGCCATCTACCCCACTCCACATGCCCAGGAGTGGTCTCCCAACGCTGCCCAGGCGGCTGTGCTGGACAGAGCTGTCTACTCCACTCAGAATTCCCAGGAGCGGTCTCCCAAGGCTGCCCAGGCAGCTGTGCTGGGCAGAGCTGTCTACTCCACTCCACTCACATGGGAGGTTCCCAGCCCGCTCTACGGCTCCTGGGATTCTGGAGTTCGAGGTGCTCAAGAGGCACCGA